TGAGCCACCACCCACATGAGCCACCATCCAACATGAGCCATGATCCACCATGAGCCACCACCCAACATGAGCCACCACCCAACATGAGCCACCACCCAACATGAGCCACCACCCAACATGAGCCACCACCCAACATAAGCCATGATCTACCATGAGCCACCATCCCCGTGAGTCGGCAGCTCTAGGCCCTGGACATCGACAACCATGGGCATCGCAGGAAGACAGGCACCCAATCCCATGTGCCCTGAGGAAGATACACCCCCTGGAAGACACCAGCTGAGTGGTCATCGTGCAGGAAATCCAGAGGACAGGGACACAGTGACCCGCACCAGGAGGGAGCAGATGGCCAAGCCCAGGCTGCAGAGCCTCTTAGCTCATCGGTATCACATACTTTCCTTAAAAATATTTTCTCAGTTGTCGGTGAACCTTTATTATTTATTTACATCTGGTGCTGAGGATCGAACCCAGTCCCTCACACGAGCCAGGCAAGCGCTCTGCCACTGAGCCCCAGCCCAGCCCTTTAACTGCTTTGCATCCTTTAACAGATAAATTGTGTGGAAAATAAGAGCTGGAAAAGAAACCTAGAGGTACGTTAAAAAGAACTTAAAGGCACTAATTCACGAGCAGGTCTAGATGGAAGGTCTAGAGAGGCCTCTGCTACCATAGAACCATCAGGAAACCTGGCTGGCTTGCCCTGGGGCTCAGCCGGGGACTGCTTGTGGGACAGAAGGGTTCACGCTGGTCTGTGCCCATGAGGCAGCCCAGGCCGCTGGCCACGCCCCCTGTCTTGACATGGGTGATGATTAGGAAGACGTTTGCCTTCAGTCTGATCTCGCTAGACCCTCACTTTGGGTTGCTTTCGTATCTGTCTCATTTTATGATAAGGAGGTTTTAAGAATATGTCTGGAGCAGAGCTGGGATGTGGGTCTGTGATTCCCTGGGTCTTGGTCCCCGAGGGAGCTGAGGTCCTCTTCCTCTTGCTCCCCGTCGCACGGTGGTACGGATTTCACGTCTTCATTCTGGGCACTGAGTCCGGCACTTTGTACATGCTGGTGACCCGCTACTCACCCAACCGTGGGCTCCCCAGGGTAGGGAGCCTGTGTCCCTTGCTCACCTTGGTGCCGGTGCACCTGGTGCCCTGCAGGCACTAGGCACCGTCTGCTGAGCCAGCAGCACGTGAGTGCACCGTGTGGTGTAGGCACTGAGGCTCGGTGCTGCCGTCCGTCCCTCTCAGAGCCCTGCCCACCCACCGCCAGGCAGACGCAGCTGCAGGGTGTCTCCTGTGTTTGGCTCCAGTCTGCAGGAAGGACCGCAGAGCAGCCCGGATGCAGAGGCCGCCACGGTTCCCCACTGGAGTGTCCTCTGGGCCAGGTGCTCCCTGGCCTGGCCACCTGCTGCTGCTCCCTGGGTCTTGGTCCCCATGGGAGCTGAGGTCCTGACTTTGCCATCAGCTGCGTGTGCTGTGGTTCCCCTCAGGGTCCGGCAAGAGAAGACGGACACCGTCCGCTGCATCAAGTCCTGCCGCCCTGCCGACGTCGCTTGTATGCGGGACCCCGTGCACACCATCTCCCACACGGTCATCTCGCTGCCCACCTTCCGCGAGTTCACCCGCCCTGAAGGTGAGTGGCAGTGGCCTGGGGGCCTCCCTGTGCCTGAGTAGAGAGCTGGGCCCTAGAAGGCACGGTCAGGGCCGAGCCGAAAGCCTCTACCTGCCCTTCCAGCCCGAGCCGCCCTCGGAGCAAGGTCCTGCTGCAGACAGCCAGAGTGTTGCTCCTGTGCCCAGCCCTGTGGGGTCAGGAGGGCTCCGGGAGGAAGTGACCTCTGTGCTGGGGCCCACGTGGTGGCTGACAGGTGATTCCGTGAGAAGCCCAGAAAGGGCAGGGAGGCCGCCAAGCCCGGTCACAGCTGGCAAGGTCTGGAGTTGGGTGGGACAGCGTGGGCATTGAGGACGAAGCCACGTTGTCTGGCTGGAGTGGCAGCCGCATGGCAAGAGATGGGCTGGCGGAATCCGCAGGGATCCGCCTGAGCTTGGAGCTGGGGCTTCACCCTAAGGCTTTGGGGAGCACTGAGAGGCTGCAGCTGGTCAGATTTGCAGGAGGAAACCTGGTCCTGGAGCCTGGGACGATGGCAGAGGAAGCGGCACCTGGGTCATGTGCCCACGCCCACGCCCGCTCTCCAGGGGCCTCAGGGTGCTCCGCACACCTGCCTTCCTAGCGCGCTGCCCAGGCAGGACAGAGGCTGGCCCGTTGCTCCGTGGCCCTCACACCCGGGTGTGCGGCCCTGTGCTGGGGCTGGCTTGGTCCCCAGCCACTCTGCCACTGTGCAGTCTCCAGCCCTGGCCTTCAGAGGCGCTCACCATCACCAGGCCACTCCCAGACATCCACTGAGCCCACGTCAAGCTCTGGGGACACCAGGGTTAGAAGATCCTTCCTCTCAGAGGAGACTTCCAATCGAGCCAGCCAGGGCGACCCCGGTGCTGACACCGTGGCAGGATGGTGCAGGGCTCTGGGGATGACAGGGGAGACCCCCAGGGCCCAGCTGCTTCAGGCCGCAGTCCCTGCGCAGTCCCTCCCCACTGGCTCCCCACGGGCTTATCCCTCCAGAGAAGGAAGGAGCAGCATTTCACAGGGGTCTGGACTCGGGCTGGAGGCTAGTGACGCTGGCTTTTCACCAAGCCACACAGCAGGGCTCCCCAAATCCTCATGGCCAGCTTCGTGGCCCTGCCAGCCAGTGCCAACGTGGGGGCTGGTGACTCCCAGGGTGTTGGATGTGGCTGCAGATGCCTCTTAGTATCTTGGGCCCAGGAAGTCCAGACCCTGAACGTCAGTGCTGAAAGGACCTCAGTGGTCACCCAATGGCCCTTTACTTTAGGTTTGGGGAAACTGAGGCCCAAGGAAGACTCCCCCAAGACCACCAGGAATAAGGCTGGGCTCTGTGACCAGTGGCTCCCGGGCCAGGGTGGCCTGGTCTCTTCACAATGGTCTAGAGATGGACCCACACAGACAGCCCAGCCTCCCCAAGGAGCCATCTCTCTCCCCGAGTTGGTGTGCACCGGAGAGGAACCAGCTTGGGCCTTTGGTGTCCTGGCGGACCTCCTGTCCCCTTCCCCAGCTCCATAAGTGCTGGTAACATTCACTAATTACTTCTCAGTGGACACCGCTGTGATTGGCTTCCTGGCCTCAGGGACATCCAAACCTCTCCAGCCCCCAGTCTCCCTGCTGATGGAGCCGCCCAGCCTGTGACATGGGGCTCGGGAGCTCCACCTCTCCATGTAGGGCGTCCGCAGCTTCAGGGACGTGGCCTGTGAACAGTCCCTTGTGTTGGGTGCTCATTACTGGGGCGTCACTGGGGTGGGCCCCGTAGTGCACCCCTTCCCATCCGATGCCCTCTCTGCAGAGATCATCTTCCTGCGGACGGTCACGCCGCTGTATCCTGCCAACCAGGCTGACATCATCTTTGACATAACGGAAGGGAACCTGCGGGACTCCTTCGATATCATCAAACGCTACATGGACGGCATGACCGTGGGTGAGTGGCCCTCCCCGGTGCTCCAAGGATCAGCCACTGCCCCTCCTTGTGCTGTTGCGCAGGAAGCCTTCTCTGGACCTGCCCAGCTCACACCTGAGTCTCTTTTCCAAGCCAGTCCCCTCCGCCGTCCCTAGGGGCCAGCCTGCAGCCCCCTCAGTCTCAGCCTGAGGCACAGCCCAGTGTGGCAGAGCCTGCCCTGGCTGTGCCCCTGGCTCTCCATGGGAATTCTCCTGGCCTCCACCTCCCTAGCTGTAAAACATGTGGGTTAAAAGCTGTGGCCTCTCACAGCTGTGACCTCCAAAGGCTGTCACTGAATGGGAGCTCTGGCTCAGCTCAGCATGGCCCCGTGGTCAGTGGAGCGCTGGGGTTTTACCCTTGGGGTCTCGGGGAGGAGTAGCAAAGGAAGAATCCGAGGGCCTGGGCTCCAGTCTCGGCCACAGGGCTACTGTGACTTGTGGCGTGACCTTGAACGTGTTCTGACTGCTCCCCAAGTGTCCGCTGGTAAGAGGTCCAGGCCTGGCCACTGCCCAGAGCCCCTCTGGCTAGGCAGCCACTGTGCTTCCTCCCTGGAGATTTGGTGTCTCGGGAGCACCAAGGAGACCAGGGCAAGGACAGGTGAAGGACAAATCTGTGGAGTTGGTACCTGGGCAGAGAACTTGGTAAAAGGGGCAGGGGAAGGGGTGAGCTGGGCACAGGAATGGCCGGAGCAGACACCAGAGGGAAGTTAGTGAACTTGGGAGATCGTGGACTGTGCCCGCCCGTGGAGGCGGGGATGCTGTCAGCTGCTGGTCAGGGGGATGGGAGGGGACGGGGCAGAGCCCTCCCTGTCACAACCACGTCTCAAAGGACGTCTGAAAACACGCTCGGACCACAGCCCTCGGCAACACGCTTCCTGTGGTCCACGGAACCTGGCCTGAAAGTTACATCTCAAAGAAATTCTATTCTTAGGGAATGTCACCGTCACGTCTGCCGGTTTGGACTTGGATTTGTACCATGAACACTTTCCAAGCAGCTGAGGACACCCCCTGCCCTCACCTGGGCCTCAGTGTCCCCATTGTGAATGGGCATGTGAGCCCAGGGCTTCTGAGGTCCTGACCAGAGCGGGACGCTTTGGAACGTGGGCTCCAGGTGGCGCTGTTGGACCTGGAACCTCGCCCCTGCCGCCCCCAACCTGACGGTTGTTAAACTGGCCGTTAATCCCTCGTTGCCAAAGAGCCATTTATAGCGACTTTACAAGCTCTTAAATGGGTTTGCATGTTGTAAACATGAGTGAGTTGTCTGGGGGTTCCCCGCCCCAGCCTCCTCCTCCGCTAGTTGGCAACAGCAGTAATTAGTTAATTACTATTAATGGTGTGTTAGCCGGGACTCCAGCAGGGCGCAGCGTGGCTGTCAGCAGTCATGAAACCGGCAGCTCGCCCCAGAGCCACTGCCCGCTCTGGACCTCTGTTTCCCCCTTGTAAAATGACCTGCGGGTGTGGCTGTGACGGGACCTGGCCCTGGGCAGCTCCCGGCTCTGGGAACCCTAGCGGTTTGGAATCACAGACCTCCGGTTCACTCCTTCACTCCTTCCCAAGCCCTCCTGGCGGAAACCACCTCACCAACAGCTCAGAAGGGCCTGCCTGGGGGGTGCGGAGCCTCGGCCGGTGGGGGCTCTAGGGGGCGAGTCCCTGGACATTCTTGCATCTTCCGTTCCCAGCTAAATCCTTCCTGGGGTGACCCAGCCAGGAGGTTGGGCAGCAGCCGGGCCTGGAATGACCCCACCAGTGCCCTGGGATGCCGTCTCTGGCCACATCAGCATCCCAGAGGGACCACCCTGGGAGTCTTCGTTTCTCGGCTTCCCATGCGCTGGGGCAGAACAGCCAGCCGTGCGGCCCCGGAGACCACCTCCCCCAACCCCCTCTAGAGGGGAAACCAAGGCCCAGAGGGGCAGGGACTTGCTGGTCTTCTACCAGTGAGTCGGGGCACCGCAGGCCATGGAGCGGCCCCCAGGGTGTGAGAGGTGACCACAGGTGTTCCCGGCAGTGGGCTTCCTGGGAATGGAATGTGGACCCAGCCACACAGCCGCCGTTCCCCTCGCTGCGCTTGGTCACGGGTGCCCTGGTCTTTGGAATTCTGAGCTGGGCCATGGGGAGGCCCCTTGGGAACGGCTCCTCCCGAAGCCCTGCCTGCCAGGTGGCCCTGTGGCTCCCCCTCACTGTGTGCAGGAGGTCCCATCTTGGTGTCTCTGGAGTGTTTCTGGCTGCCTCTGTCCCTGGGCCTCTGGATGCGACGTTTCTCTGCTGGGGCTGTCTTCCCTGGGACCTTCACCGTCCACCTCTTTCCTCTCTTCTGCTGCCCAGAACCACCTCTGGGAGCTTCCGAGGCCCTGGACCTCCCTGGCACACAGCTCCAGGCCCGTCCACCTGGCGTGGTTGCCTGTTGGACTGAGCCGGCATGCAGCTGCCTGGAGTGGGCTTCCCCCGGAAGCTCCTCTCCTCTGCTGAGCACTCTCCCCCCATGTTCTTGTGCCCACTCACATCACCGCCCAGGATGGGGCAGGAGCCCTTCCCTTGGGCCAAGGAGGGAAGGGAGCTAAATGACCGCGTGAGCCTGTAACTGAAAACCGCAAAGCCGGGACATCTCCAGACTTGTTCTGAGCGCGCTGCATTCCCAGGCCCCATCTTAGATGGAGCCCGGGTGTCGGCTGAGGGGGAGAAAGTGTCCCTGGACACTCAGGCCTGCCATCTGCTGCTCCCTGCTAGGCCTTGGGAGGCTCCTGAGCCCCTTGGGAACCCCCAGGCAGCTCGGCCACCAGCAGCGCACAGCAGGGGCACCTGCCTGCCCAGGGCACTGGTTGGATGCCTGCCAGCTCCAGGCCATACCCTGGGTGGACACTGAGGACCACCAGGGGCTTCCTGAAGGAGGCAAGGCCAGGCTGAGTCTCCACCCGTGGGCAGGAAGGACGTTGGTGAGCTGCTACGCGTAGGAGCTGCTGTTCCATGATGGCCAATGCCCTGTGCTGTGGGTCACCCCTACTCAGGGACGCAGGTGCAAGGGCCAGGTGGGCACGAGGCTGGCAGACCAGAATGGGCCTGGAGCCCCACCTTCCAGAGCTGGGCTGGTGCCAACTAAGACCCGCTGGCTAGGAGTGTGGGTGTCCCAGGAAGTCACCCGTGGACGAGCCTGCAGGCCCAGTGACCACAGTGTCCACCCCCCTCAAAGTCATAGGAGGTCAATGCCCCGAGACAACCAGGACCCAGGGGAGCCAGACCTTCGGCTAATGCAGTCTTGAAGCCTGTTCCAAGGGATCCAGGGACTGTGCCGGGCGAGCGGCTGTCCCCGACAGTGCCCCTGCATTCCTCTCTCCCCGGCTGTCAGTGAAAAATGAAGAATGCGTCTCCTCCAGGGCCCGAGGGAGCCCTCCTCAGCCGACTTGGGGTTCACCCTTGGCTCTGCAGGGTGCAGGCTGTGATCAGGGAGCTCAGAAAACTCTGTCAAGTAACAGCTTCTGGGGGACCAACGGGGATCTTTGAACAGGATGGTGCCAGCTGCATGCGGCCAGCCTGGAGTGGGAGGACAGGCCCCAGGCCCCTGGGCACCCCTGCTGCTGGGCTATAGCATGTGCAGGGCCTCAGGCCCCTTACCACCCTCTGCTCTCTGCTTCTCAACCGCGCCCCTGGTGGAGAGCTGGCTTGGCCAACGTTTCTGTGAGACCAGGAGGAGCGGGGTGGGGTGGGGGGGCAGGCAGCTCCAGGTAGTTTTCCACCTGCGGCCTGTATGCACACAGCTCAACTGGTCCTGGGCCTTTGGGTCAGCAGCTGTGATCGCAGACGTGATGGTGGAGCAGTCCAGGGTAGGGGGCTTCTCGGACCAGGTAGTGGGGGTGCGAGCCAGGATGGAGGTTAGACTCCACTCCAGGCCAGTGTGGAGTCCCTGTGTCCTCTGGTCTCTACTGGCTGTTGTCCACACTGCTGGCATCTGCTGGCTGCAGCTTGTCCAGGTCCTAGCCACAGAGCATCGGTAGTGAAGCAGGTCCTTATAAACAGCCGCCATGCCCCCGGTCCTGGGTCCTGGCCCCCTTTAGGGTAAAGACCTCCTTTGTGTCCACGTGGGAGAGGTGAGGTCCAGCCCTGCCAGGCTGGGGAAGGACAGTGTTCTGTGGCCTCCTCTCTCATTCCTCACCTGGCCGGCGCCACCTCCTGCTCACACAGGACTCTCCGTGCGCCTGCTTCCCACCTGCCCACAGGGCCTGGAGCGCCCTGGAACCCTGAGCCTGCCGGTCCCCAGGGCAGCACCCCTGAGGCCGATGTGGGGTTGGCTGCCACGTGGGAACACCGTTTTCAGGGTCGGGGTGGGACCCTCCCTGGCCTCATGTGCAAGCTTCATGTCTGAGAAGACGTTCAGCCCACTCCACTGTGCGCCTCGGTCCCAGGCGAGCCCCCGGTCCCAACTGGTGAGCACGTGAGGCTGGAGGTGGGCCGGGTGGGGATGGCCGAGCACTTAGGTGTGTGTGCTCAGGTGGGCGAGTGCCGAGTGTGCGCCATCGCCTGACTCTCCCAGAGGCTGGCAGTGTGGAGGGCAGGCAGAGTGTCCCCTAGAGGGGAGAAGGGGACATGGCAGTGTGGAGGGCAGCAGGAAGGTCCCCTAGAAGGGAGAGGGGGACATAAAAGGAAAAGCACCTTTGTACTCACTGCGTGGGGACCCCACGGGGCAGAGGCGGCATGCCCTCCAGGTTGACCACTCTGAAACGACACCTGCCCTAGCTCACAGATGCAGACTCAAAGGTCACACAGCTAGTGACAGCCCCTGAGCTGGGGCTGGATTCCTCAGAGGACTGGTGGGCTTCAGGGGGCAGGTATGGCCTCTGCTGGGAGCCCACCTGTCTGAGGTGCCCAGGGGCTACAGGGAGCCACCCCAGGAGCTGCCTGTCCTGCCCTGGGCTCCCTGGCTGCCCGCCCTGGGCCTATTTGTGGCACAAACGTATTTGTTCAGGGCCTCGACGGGAGGGGAGCCCCACGCAC